TTTGCACAGGGGCAGTAGTTATGCAGAAGAAACTGTAATCAAGCATATTGTATACTTAAATTCCAGGGGTGGCATAGTGGAAAGGTTTAGGATTTTGCAGTCACAAAAATTAGGGTGGGTTTCGTGCCTGGCTCCACTAATTACTATAAAACCAAGTAAGTTATTTAGCATCTATAAATTTTCTTATTTCTTTTTTTTTTTTTTAGGAAACTAATGCCATCCAGAAAGAATTGTACAGAGGTTAAAAGAAAAAATATATTTACAAGTGCTGACCATAGAGCCTAGCACATATTAGGTACTTACCAATTGGTAGAGATTTGTGTTAAAATAATGAAACACCCTCTGATCTAAGGCCATCCTGCGTCATTTATTGTTAATTTATAAGATCTATGAGTCTAAAAACTAAGTTTTAGCCGAGTCTCCTAAATTCAAGAAATTAATCAACCCATAATTTTGATCATATATCGTTTGTGTGTGAGATAAAAGGACAAACCATATGCCAACCACAAAAGCAGATACTTTGTCAGTTTAGTGATCATAAACTCTGAGTGAGTGGAGATTAAATTGATTTTACCATATTGGATAATTAGAAGCGTGGTGAGGAAGGCTCCGTTCGTAAAGCTTCTTTGGACACTTCATCTCTTTGCCGCTGCTTTGGGAGGTGCCATCACAGCGGGAAGGGTACGGGAAGGTGGGCAGTGGCTTCGTTCTGTGACTATCCCTGTCTGTGACTTTGGACAAGTCACTTCCCTTCCTTACGTTTAAGTTTCCTCATCTGTCAAATGAGGACACCTCTAGCTCCTCCATTATGTGGTTATTTCAGGGCTCCGATAAGATAATTCATGCAAAACACTTCCCACAGAGCCTACGGCTTAAGAAGCATTCAGTACACATTAATCATTATTACTATTATTGAGAAACAAGTAGAATAAGACTTTCACTTATTTAACTGGGAAAAATGAGAAATGCAAAGTTGATGTTCAGGAAAGCAGTTAGTAAGAAGTTTGTTTTAAAAGTCTGACAGCTGTAGAAACGTGTTGCTGACTGTTGGGCTGGTTAAGTCATTTTAAAAAAAGGAAGACTTTTAGGTTGTGCAATAATAATTATCAACCACTAGATGGCACTGTGCATATTTTATTATTCTAAATAGCTATCAAGCTTCGATTGTCCACCACAGAGAACCTGCTACCAGGCACAGAAGGCAGGAAGGGAGGTTCCCTTGTCCATACAACTGCAAACGTTTCATGTTAATACACTTGCTAAGACAATAGTTTGTGTCATGAAATTTCTTAGTTATTATTTGGCCAATATTAAGAATAAACAAAATGTATTCTTAAACTAACTTTTAGTATTTCATAGAATCTCAAAAGTGATGGTGTTGATTTCAGGTGTTATTAATAGCAAAGAGTTCCTTTTCACAAATAAATGGAGATAGTTCAAGCTTCAATAGTCTTCCATAAATCCAGGCAGTCCCAGGTAGAAAGTGCCAGGTTGGTGTGGTGGCAGAAAGAATTGCAAATGGGTAGACAAGAATTTGTTGATTTCAAGAGATGCTTTATTTGTTTGCTGATGCCTTATTATTATTTTTTTTTTTTTTTGCAGTTTTTGGCTGAGGCCAGTTTTGAACCCACCACCTCCAGTATATGAGGCCAGTGCCCTACTCCTTTGAGCCACAGGTACCACCCTGTCTTATGCTTTTTTAATAGAAGATGGAGTCCTCAGTTCATAGTCAGAGATGAATTAAATCCAAATATCCCTGGGGAAAATGACAACATGACAAACCCAGTTATGCTCAGATGGAAATGACTGATGTCATATACTTTGTGGGAAATAGTAGAATCATATAAGGAGGGTAATATATGGGGCAGAAGGTACAGGAGGGACAGGGATATCAAAAGAGAATTTGAGGATTTAGTCTATCTCATGACTTAGTCCAGGGCTAGCCTTTCCTGGACCCCAGAGACGAGGTCCAGGCTGTAAAATGGGGTCAGGTGACACTGCTACTGCTGGCCCAGGATCACACTCGGAGTAGCAAAGCGCAGGCTTTTGAGAACCACACAATCTCAGTCCCCATCCCTGACCTAGAGAATCAGAAACTGCACTTTGCGGTTTGCATTCACATTAAAGTACAAGAAACACTGCTTGAAGTCAGCTGTTGCCAGTCCCTTGGCCTGAAGATAAACAGCCTGGTATGTCCTAATACACTATGAGATGTATGGCAAGAAGCTGGTTACTATCTATTAATATGCAGTTTCAGAATGATTTATATAATTATGTATATGCACATTTTTTAGAGAAATTTGAGGTCTGCATCTATAAGGAGGTCACTTATTGCATTATGATGTGCTGTCCTAATTAGGAGAAAAGGGAATTGCAGTTGGGCTGGGAATTGAATATCATTTGTTGACATGATGTGTCTTTGGGAATATACATATATCCTCTAGCAC